TTTGTCCCTCCTAATCTGCAGGGGTTAGAGCCCGTAATCAACCACTCCCTCTCTGCCTATGGCTTTGTGGACCAGGTACGGAAAGATCTGGCAGATTTACTGCAGCTCCGGAATGATGCGCGCTCCACGCCTTTCTGCGGCAGATGAATCAAACACCGTCATTCTAGAGGATAGTATATCTATTATAACCCCCACCCATCTGTTCTTGTTTACCCAAAATGGAAAGTAAACAAAGTCGATGTCTCTGATCCACATTTTGGGTCTTCCGCATACAATATCCATGATGGGTTGCCCAAATTCAAATGACTCCCTCCGATTCGACCGGCTGAATTTGGGGAAGTGTTTAGCCATGGAGACCGCCCAGCTGCTTGGTAGAATGTCAGCCCTGTTATCTTCATTGGGTGTGAAACAGGCGAGCCAGGATTTCTGCAACATCATTGTGCAAGCATCCATTACCTACCGACAACCAACAGGGGTCGTGAATAAGGTTTTTACTAAGAGTAATAGATAGAAGTGGAGTGCCGGTGATTCTGTACCTCAGGGCGGGACGGCGGTATAGAGTTAGGTAAATCGAGTAAGTCTTGCAGCCTGATAGACAGTCCCTCACCCATTTGTAGCACCCTACGGAAAAGTTGGAGCAAGAAATTTAACGGATATTCTGTTATATACATCATAGGCATCTATATACTATATACACCTATATAATTATATAGCGATCTACTTGAGAGTATTGATATTTATATTCACTACTTAATGGGTAAAAAGGAATATACCTTCCCGGTGAAGCGTTTACTGTTAGTGCAGTGAACTTAGGGTTTTCTGGCACGCCCCCCGAGTTGGGTGCAACCAGCAAAGACACGGCCTTCTCTTGTGCTACCGTAGTGTTTGAATTGTTATGGGGGTTTCCTTCTGCTACAACATGAAGCACATCTGCGTGTGGAGCTGTCCCTGCGTGAGCCAATTCCTCCGTGGTTTGTGCGTCTCTGTCGCCCTGGTTGCTTTCGTGGTGTTTCGAAGATACAGCAACGGGGGGTGACTGCTGTGTGGGTGTTCCGTCATTGATGTCTCTGATAACTTCTTCAATAAGTTGGTCGGCCTTGGCTGATTGAGACTGGTTAAGCAGTAGATTGTCGATTCTTTCATTAAACCTCCTCTCCATCCTAGTCTCCATAGTGAGCATTGATGAGGCCAGCGAATCAACCATCGCGGCTTGGGCCCTCTTCAAAGCAGCTTCAATCTGCTCTGAAATGATGTCCATCGTACTAGGAGGACGATCGTCTTTATCAGCGGCAATTGGTGATTTCCCACATTCCTTTTGTTTTTTGGCACGAGAAGAACTGCCAACAGACCTTTCCTTCACGGAAGCTTTCGCTTTGCATTTTTGACTTTGCATTTTTGACTTTGGGGGTGGCGCATCGGCTAACTGACCTCCAAAGAAGGACTCCCTGGAAAACTCTGCACCCTCTGCAATGAGCATCTCCATATAATCCACCTTTGGATCTTCAGCTTCGTCGGGCCAGGACAGATCAACTTCCGAGTTACCATCGACCTTGCCTGGAATTATTGGAGTGACCGATACCTAAAATAACACACCCACATACTGAATTATAGAGCATGGCGATGAAATATAACAATCTACATTAATGACTGATAATAGTATGATAGATATCTACAACTCAATATAGAGGTTCACACAGGGATGTGATGGCGTTACCTGTCCAGAAGAGTCGAGAGCCCATAGCTTATCGATTTTGAGGGTGCTAGCTACCAAACACTCGTCATCTTCGAAGTCAGTATCACCTTCTTCTACCAGTGTTTCCAGCGCTGCGGGAACCGCGTCAAGTAACACTAGCTGGACCGCGTGTATGAAACCCTGAACAGCTACGGTGGGCTGTGCTAGCTGATGGATTGTGCGGGATTTTATGCACTGAACTGTCATGTCAAAGCAATGACGCCCCCATGAGAAGTCCATGAAGTAATCAAGGTCTCGAATCATCTCCACATGGTCTTTCGGGATCTTCATGCCTGCCGATTTGCGGCATAACAATCCATCAACAAGGAGGAGGCATGCGTATTTTACCTTCACCTCGCTAGAGAGGTTTTTAGAGCGCCTGAGCATGACCTCTAGCTTCTCTCCCGTGACGTTTTCGTTGCCCCCAAAAAGGGTGAACCAGTAAGGGACTTGACCGGGTTTACATTGAATGATATCGCGAGATGAAGGGGTAATGGTGTCGCAGTTCAACCCCGTTACAATCGCAAACTCCCGTAGAGAGAATTTGATCGGCTTACCCCAAAATACAAACCAGAGCTCGTGTCTTTTATCGGTCTTCAACTGCCTCGTTAAGAGAAAATGGGCAAGTTTTTCCGAGTGAGCGGTTTTGTGGTACAGGCCTAAGAACTTTTTAAACCGAGGGCGGATCACGTTTAATTCGTCCGGAGTGAGTGCTTTGAGAATAACACCTATGGTTTCAAGCTTGAAGTAGGAGTTCACTCTCTCTCCCACCGGCTCCTGCTGATCAGCGAAGATGCGGAGGGGGAGATCGTTTGATTCTATCCTACGAATATTGATTACAAACCGATGTCAGTATAGCACATAGTTATAATTCATGATAAGTGTTTATATGCAGTCATGTGCTATGTGTGTGATGATTTCCGTAACCAAATATATAGACATGGTGAGTTCATTTTGATTTGTGGAGCCGGAAGAAATAGTATGAATGTCCAATTACCATCATGGCAAGCCATGTGTAAATATGGACTGTACTTGTAAATCTTTAAGACGACAGAATTCATAAACATTTGTAACTATAGATGGATGGCTATTTCTCAGGATAAAGGTTTATAATATTGAATCTGACTATTTTTGCAGGAATTTTAAAAATCACTCAACTCGAACTTGTATTTCGCTCCGTACTACATGCCGAAGGAGAAAATCAATAAAGAAAACATCATGCAAAAAGTTAATCGCTAACAATTTCCGATACGCCCAAATAAAAACCCTAGCAGCGGGAGAAAGTGGTAACTACAGGGGAAAAACGTAATAGCGAATCCTGATGGTCTCGCATTTGGAAGACGGTTAAGGTTTACCTGAATAATCACCTACCGGCGTCTGAAGCGCTACGGTCTACCGATGGTCACCTGAGTTTGCCTCTGACTCTGTTTCGTCTCACCGAATCGATTTGGCTTTGGAAGTATCGGAATAGGATAAATCAATCGGCGAAGGGGTGTTATGGGTTACGGTGAGAGCAAGAGGCGTGATATTAATATGCCCCTCTATTTCTAACATACAAAATAAGTTACAACTATTTTAATTAAGTGACGAACTAATATTGTTATTGGTCTTCACATCCATTCGTCTGAATTTATGTGTACATATTCCGGATTTGAAAAAAAGAATTATTTTCTCGAAGGAGCGCGTAAGGGCAAAAACGAGAATATGAATAGCAAATTAGTTTCATACTTAGACACAAAAATAACATATATCGATTACTTAATTGACTACTAATCTCACGCTATTTTATGCTATTACTCTAAATTATTTTGATTCAAGGAGTCAATGTATATAAAATTTAATCAAAAGAGCATTTTTTTAATTAGATGAGTTCGCACGACTGTTAAAGAAAAATAAAATAAAAACAGCAATGCTCGTAGAATAGTCTCGAAAATTCAGACATGGTGGTCAACATGATAGCAGTCTATATTAAAGTTCTCGATTCTTGATCATGTAATTTGCGTAATTTTATAACAATTGGTCTTGTAATATTTATTTTATGATATATATATTACTTATCCCATGTTCTACTAAATAATTCGATATTAAATTGATGCCAAAATCACCATAACCCAAATTTGTTATGCCAAGAAAGGTATATAATGTTCAAGAATAAAAATGGGTATATAAAAAAACGTGAGTCACATGCCAAAGAAATTGGGTACAAAGTCCATTAAAATTGTTTCTCCTATTATATAAAAAACACGTCAGTTCATTCAAAAAGTTCATAATTTTATAAACTAAAAATACTTATCATCAAATTTAAAAAGCTAATTGATATTATTCCGTTGCCAAGAAATAAAAAATTGATATTCAAGTCGGATACCACATAGTGTAGTCTTCAGACAAGAGCTCGGATACCACATGACCTTTTTCGCTATATCTAACTTTTTAGTTAGACTTTGCTCCGCATCTGCCTTTGACAATGGCAGAGCCTCTTTTTTAAAAAGTCGGATACCACATGGGATAAAATATAATTTATGAAACAAGTAAAATATTTTAGAAGATGAGTTTTTATATTGGACATCAACACATTATTCATAATACTCTTGTAAGCTAAAATCTAAAAAAAAAATCAATCTAAAAAACTGAACAAAATCAGATTGAACACCTCTAATTTAAGGATTTCCACATAATTTTTTTCTCATTTTTCTCATGATTTCCTAAAAGAGGGATGGGGTTATATAAGTAGGTGGGCGCATGGAGATAAAAAAAAATATCAATTAATAATAAAATAGAAAAGAGGAGAGAGAGAGAGAGAGAGAGAGAGAGAGAGAGAGAGAGAGAGAGAGAGAGAGAGAGAGAGAGAGAGAGAGAGAGAGAGAGAGAGTAATAAAATTTCCCTTAATTAAGCAAAAATGAAAATAGCTTCATCTTCTTCCCCGCTTCTCGCCGTTGTCTCCAGCTCAGGCTCATCGGTGAGTTGACTTATTTATGAACACGTCTCTTTATTCAATCACCTCACCAATTTTCAGTTTTTCCTCTCGTAACCACTCTTCGAATCCGACCCGTAAGTCATTTTGCGTTTAATTCAATCATTTTGTATCCCAATCGGATTATATAGAATCTTATGATCATTGGAGTATGTAAAACCTTTCGAATGTGATCTTTTTATAATATTATGTTTGGGTTTAACGAAAGTTTCAGTTTTTGTTTTCTCCTGATGATCTAATTGTAACATTGTTTTGGTTTTATTCTGGGGATCTAATTAAGACTTTTCCTTCTTCAGGATCCGAAAACTAGCGGATCACTTGGACCTCGAATCCTTCCGGCTACTCAAAGGTTAGTCCTTTTTTCTTTCTTTCTAGCCTCTTTCTGATTTTTAATTCGTAATTTATAGACATGAAAATGGATTGTAGCTTAGAAATTATGCGGTGGGATCAAGTTTGAAAACCCCTGATACGATTATGAATCATTTTATGATGTGATGTTGATATGATGGTGACATGATTATGGTGATGGGTTTAAGGCTGAGGTTTCAAGGTTTAGGGTTTAGAAATGATGCAGTTAGAAAATATGTATAATTTGATTCATTATATATCCTGATGGTTCTTTATTGATTTGCACATTGCTTTGAGCTTTGAACTTTTGAGCCTTGATGGTTCTTTATTGATATTCATGATCGAGCGATTATTATTCTTTGTAATATTTCTTCCTTGATGAGCGTATATGACATTGTTTGAAGTTAGCGTTTATAGGCTAGAGAGACTTCACAGCAAGTTGTACCATGAAAATTTCAACTTTAGTTTCTGGGATTTATAAGAGAAAGAATCAGAATTCTTACAGATTTTGGATCTTCTGATTTGGTTTATCATTGAATTTATTTGGTGTTTGATCAACAAAGGAGATTCAGTTTATTGACTAAGAGTTTCTCCTAGATTTACCAAAACTAGTATTAATGTAAAAAAATATTTGAGATTTTGCTTTCAATTTTTCTATGACTTCTCTAAGTTCTCACCGTGTTAAGTATACCAGATCATCCCCGTGGGACAATCTTCTCCGCCTTAGGACAATGTCTTCTAGTCACCTAAGGCATGTCGAGTCCATGTCTCTGCTACCGTCAGGCGCCGGTAAGATCTCTCAGTTAAACGCTGTCGTCTTGGGGGAATCCCTTGCATCCGAGGAGAATGATCTCATCTTTCCCAGCAAGGATTTCTCCAGCCAGGCTCTTGTTTCCTCCCCTCAACAGGTTCTCTCTATTTCTCTTCTAACATCAATTAAGTCTTAGATCAGCACACACCATCTTCTCTTCTTGCTTTAATGATGTGTAAATCATTTATCTTCTTGTTATTGGATGCAGTACATGGAAATGCATAAAAGGTCGATGGACGACCCTGCCGGGTTTTGGTCTGACATTGCGTCTGAGTTTTACTGGAAGAAGAAATGGGGTGACGAAGTGTTTTCCGAAAATCTTGATGTCAGGAAGGGTCCTATTCACATTGAGGTGGATGCTTTTTTCTTCTTTTTCTCCTTTTCTTGTTATTTTCATTTGCTCTAGTTCTGCATCGTGATGACATGTCTGTGATCAGTGGTTCAAAGGGGGAATCACCAACATTTGCTACAACTGTTTGGACAAAAACGTTGAAGCTGGTTTGGGTGATAAAACAGCTATATACTGGGAAGGGAATGAACCTGGTGTAGGTGCTTCCTTAACTTATTCTGAGTCGCTTCAACAAGTTTGCCAGGTATAACTAAACACTTTGTTCTTCATCTCGGACTGCGTGTAGAACTCTTCTTTCTCATTAATTTGCTGGCACTGCATTTGCCTTGTCCTTGTGCTGCAGCTTGCTAATTACTTGAAAGATATTGGAGTGAAAAAGGGTGATGCTGTTGTAATTTATCTACCAATGTTGATGGAACTTCCCATCGCTATGCTTGCATGTGCACGGATCGGAGCTGTTCATTCGGTAACCTCTGAAAATTGTGCATTTGTCTACAATGCAGCATTTACATCTATGTCGTTGAAACGAAACCAGTTTTTAATGTCAATTCTTCTCCAGGTTGTTTTTGCTGGATATTCAGCTGACTCTCTTGCCCAAAGAATCATTGATTGCAAGCCAAAAGTAATACTGACTTGTAATGCTGTTAAAAGAGGCCCTAAGACCATAAACCTTAAAGCTATTGTTGATGCTGCACTTGACCAATCCTCTAAAGATGGAGTCTCTGTAGGTTAGTCCATTTACCAGAATCTGTCTCGGGCCCTTGTCTGTACGTTTCCTGTATTTTGGCTTCAACTGTTTGTTCCCAATTGCCATTTACTGGTTCTTGCTCTTTACGTCTTATTATAAGTTCGTTCTCTGAGCACAGCAATGAAAAGATAGGATACAGACATTGCTTGTTGATTTGATGGCTTCATAACTGATGGTTTTCTGACTGTTATGTCTCTTGCTTCTCTACATTTAGACGTATGCTTGACCTATGACAACTCATCAGCGACAACAAGGGAAAATACTAAGTGGAAGAATGAAAGAGATGTGTGGTGGCAGGTAACTGCAGGAGCTGTTTGATAATACATAAAATCTATTCATTTCTTTTCCCCAACGGTTCTTAAAGTCTGATTTGGGTGATGGTGATCCCATTAGGATGTCATTCCTAAATATCCAACATCGTGCGAAGTGGAATGGGTTGATGCGGAAGATCCCTTGTTTCTGCTCTACACCAGTGGAAGTACCGGGAAGCCAAAGGTACTTTTAGTCCTTTGTTAGATTCATTTTCTTTTAACTTCGTTTGTTGTAGTTTTCTTTCTTTAATGTGGGTACTTTGAAGGGTGTCCTACACACAACTGGAGGATATATGGTCTACACTGCTACAACATTCAAATACGCATTCGACTACAAACCAACAGATGTATACTGGTATGCAAATATAATTTTCTTGACTGTTAAATTTACTTGGTAATAGCTATGCAATGGAGTGCTAATCTCTTTGCTTCTCTAACATAAGGTGTACAGCAGATTGTGGTTGGATCACTGGCCATAGCTATGTTACTTATGGCCCAATGCTTAATGGAGCCACTGTTGTTGTCTTTGAGGGGGTAATCTGTTTCGATAATTGGAGATGTTTACTGATATATGAATTTCTATCAATTAATGTCTTGAATCAATAATTCAAGTAATTATTTTGCTTACAGAGCTATCAGCATTTAAGCGTATGAATGTGTGAAAATGAGTTTTTCTTTTCATCTCTTGCATTTGGATTGAGCTATTGGTTGTGATATTATCATCTGATTTTGAAACAGGCTCCAAACTACCCTGACTCTGGACGCTGTTGGGAGATTGTTGACAAATACAAGATTTCAATATTCTACACTGCTCCAACATTGGTGAGGTCTCTCATGCGCGATGACGATAAGGTAAGACATATGCAATCTTTTTCGGTTTGTTGAATAAGTAAGTAATCAGCATTCTACTGGTGCTTCGAAAGCTACAAGAAAGTACTGGCTGTATTGATCAGTCCTTCAACTTCTTGTAATGTAGTTCGAGCCTTATGTATGTGATAACTTTTAGATATCTGAATCATTTACTCTTATTTTCATTGTTATAGTATGTAACAAGTCATTCTCGGAAATCGCTACGAGTCCTTGGAAGTGTGGGCGAGCCCATTAATCCGAGTGCCTGGAGGTTGGAACTCTGATATCTTTAGTCTTTTATTCTTGCGATCAGTTGAATGAAATGTTTGTTTAATGATTTACTGATTATCTGATGTAGATGGTTCTACAATCTAGTCGGTGATTCAAGGTGTCCCATTTCAGATACATGGTGGCAAACTGAAACTGGTGGCTTCATGGTGACTCTCTTCTCTCTCGCTCTCTATCTCTCTTGATATCTCTTGCATGCTCTCTCTCTCATGTGTATTAAATTGCATGGCAGATAACTCCATTGCCAGGCGCTTGGCCGCAGAAGCCTGGTTCAGCTACTTTCCCTTTCTTTGGTGTTCAGGTCTGTCGTTTATAGTGAAAATTTAGATTGCTTCGTCCTTCAGATATTTGGAAGTTAGGACTTCTCTCTTACCTGTCTCTGTCTGTCCCTGCTACAGCCTGTCATAGTTGATGAAAAAGGCAATGAGATCGAAGGCGAGTGTAGTGGATATCTTTGTGTAAAAGGATCATGGCCCGGGGCGTTTCGAACTCTGTATGGGGATCATGAAAGATACGAAACCACATACTTTAAACCTTTTGCTGGATATTACTTCAGTGGTGATGGTTGCAGCAGGTTGACAATCTAATTTAATCTTTTTAGTATTTTCTTTCTTTCTTTCATAAAAGCCAATTTTGCAGTTTATGTATTGATAAGAACCAAAGCCGGGTGATTTTATATGGCTTCTATTTAAGTTTTGGTTTTGTGTTCCAGAGACAAAGATGGTTACTTCTGGCTTACAGGGAGGGTTGATGATGTTATTAACGTCAGGTAAAACACAAAATACTAAAACGTTGTTATAATTTATACATTCCCTAAGCTTCCAAATATTCTCCCTACCTCAAATATATACTTATGTTTCGATTTTTTCTTCTAATGCACAGTGGCCATCGTATCGGAACTGCTGAAGTAGAATCTGCTCTGGCTTCACATCCCCAATGTGCAGAGGCAGCTGTTGTAGGCGTAGAACATGAGGTATGTAGAGTTATTATGCATATATAAGGCGTGACACAAGACTTCATACGTAAATTCATCAGCTTGTTAGTCATTGAGTATAATAGAATACGTTTATGATGTTAAAGGTGTATAGTAACTGGAACTGATTTTAGGGCCTTTCGAAAGCAGGGAGAGTTTTGAGGTTCTCTATTACAAAAACATAGGGTTGCTTCTTGCTTCCTGGTTCTTGAGATTGATTATATTCTTGATTTTAGCGGCGTTCTTGATTTCGCTTCTTGGTTCTTGAGCTTGATTTTGTTCTTGATTGTAGCGTCGTTCTTGATTTTAGCGGTGTTCTTGATTTTGCTTCTTGGTTCTTGAGTTTGATTTTGTTCTGGATTGTAGCGGCGTTCTTGGTTCTTGAGTTTGATTTTGTTCATGATTTTAGCGTCGTTCTTGATTTTGCTTCTTGGTCTTAGCGTCGTTCTTCTTCGTTTACCGTTGTAAATCAGTTTTGCTTTTCTCTTGCTTGTGTTTAGGTAAAAGGTCAAGGAATCTATGCGTTTGTCACACTGGTGGAAGGTGTTCCTTACAGTGAAGAACTTCGGAAAAGCCTTGTACTCATGGTCCGAAATCAGGTAAGTAAACAGTGAATAGTGATGCTAAGTTTAGTTGCAACACTCTGATTGGTATATGCAATGTTTTTGCGGTTACCAGATCGGAGCATTCGCAGCACCGGACAGAATACATTGGGCACCGGGACTACCAAAGACGAGAAGCGGAAAGATAATGAGGAGAATACTGAGAAAGATTGCTTCAAGGCAACTAGAAGAGCTTGGTGATATAAGCACACTCGCTGATCCTAGTGTCGTTGATCAGCTTATTTCACTTGCCGATGTGTGACATCCTTTTCTTTGATTTTCTCTCAATGTAACAGTATAATCATATGCGCCAATGGAGAGAGAGTGGAGTTTTGTGCATCTATGTTTTTATAGAGGGAGTTGATGGAGAAAACTAAAAACCTGAAGCAAAAATTCAGGTTCTTTGATGTGAGGAATAAATGCTTGCAAGACGGTTTCGTTACGTTTTTGAATAAATTTTTTATTTATTTATGAATTTGGATTATTTTATTTTGTTTTTGTAATCTATCCCATAGTCGTAAAAATTAACTCTCTATCACAGTATTTTTTTTTGCTCATTTTGAAACAATATCGTTTTAGTAAATTGAATTATATATATATATATTAGTTATATTTTTATATAAAATAACTAAAATTCTCAAAATGATAATTCTAAATCAAATATATTAGTTAATTTAGAATAAAATAATTAAATATTAAAGTTATTTTTATTATATATGTTAAAATTAAAATATTTTTTGTAAAACTTAACCAAATGTATCAAAATATTTTTTCTAAAAAAGATTTAAGATAAATTTTGGACAATTCGGGGATCCGAAACCAACTCGGATCCGACATGAACGGAAGCAAACCCGATCCAAAATTTAAAAATACCGAATAGAATTTATAACCTAAAATTAAAGTAATTAATACCTAAAAAGACCAGATCCGAATCAGAATGTCCATGGCTAGACTAGCTAGTGAACGCGGCGGCATAACTAATGAACAACATATATGTTGGAGATAACATCATGAAGTTTAAAATTAGTAAGAAAATTTATTTATTTAATGATAAAACGATGTTATTTTCATCTTACACATATTTTATTAGTCAGCAATCGTTAACGCTGTAATTACTATTATATGCGATTTTGGTGGAAATGATTATATATCTTTAGTTCATGTAGGATTTTTAAAAATTTAATAGTTTGTGTAGTTATAAGCATTGGTTAATAGGACCATACCATATATCATTCTAGTCAGCAATCGCTGACGCTACAAATAGCGTATATGTGATTTTGGTGGAATCGACTATATTTTTTTTAGTTCATGTAGTATTTTCAAAATTGTAGATAGTTTATATAGTTTTTTTTTTTTGACATCAAAAGCTCCTTGTATTATTAGATACCAAAGAAGGATGGCTCAGTAGCCAGCCACTTTGGAAGGAAATTGTTTACATAGGAGAAAGGCATACTTCGGGTTAGAGCGCTCTTAGCGAGACAATCTGCCCGGACATTAAGATTACGAGGAATAAATTCTAGAGAGAAATTATGGAGATAAGATCTGAGAAGCTCAAATTCTTCTAATTCTGTTGCTAAAGCTGGCCATTCCTCTTTTTCTTCAATTATTCTTACCAATAGCTGGCAATCTGTTTGAAAGATCAGGCGAGGAAAGTGGCATGGTGTGAGAACTCGCATAGCCCATAGTAAGACTTCCATCTCCGCATGGAGTGGGGATAAGACTTGGTCAATCGCCATGAGGCCCACCATCCGGCTCTCGTCTTCGCACTCCAAAAAGAAGCCTCCACCAGATAATGTACCCTCATGTGACCAAGAGGCATCAACCTGGCATCTCACGGTACATAGTTCCCTGCTTTGTTCTTGTCGTACTTGGCAATCCTCCGATACTGGTGTAGAACTATTTCCTGTTGCTGGGTTGGTTTGTTCTATTACTTGCGCTGTTTTCCATGATTCAGATTCTTGCATAGCATTCTCGAGTGTCTCAGCTGGTGATACATCCTTATCGTTAAAAACCTTATCATTCCGAGCCTTCCATATGTACCAGAGGATCCAAGGGAACACCTCTAGGCATGTCTTCGAGACTCCTTGTTCAGAGACTCGTCCGGTAAGGTAAGCAAAATTTTGTGATATAACCGAGCACGGGAAGATTCCCGGAGGGGACGGAATCGTACTAAGTGCCCACACCTGTGTGGCTGGAGGACATTCGAAGAGAACATGATTGGTTGTCTCTTCTGTCGCTCTGCACCGTGGACATTGGCGATCTGTCCCACAATGGCGGTTAACCAGCTGATTATTGGTTGCTATGCATCCTGATAAGGCTTGCCACATAAAGTGTTTGATCTTTCCTGATGTCTTTTGTTCCCATATCCTTGTTTTTAAAGGGTTAAAACTTGGCTCTAGGACTGGTAGACTGCACCCTGTTTCCCGAATTTAGATCGCTAGGTCGTATCCCGTTCTGACCGAATACATCCCTGACTTCGAGTATGTCCATATAAATCTGTCTGGTTTATAAACTCTGCTGGGCCGTATACTCTTTATACGCGGAATTTCCTCTGGATCAAAAAAGTTATATAGGAGAGGTAAGCGCCAAGTTGAGGTGACTGGGTCAATAAGATGATGGACATAAAGGTCCACATCTCTCCCTCCTCCATTATCTTGGGCCAGGCGGGGTGGACAGACTGGCAACCAGTTATCAAACCATACCCTTGTGCTGATTCCTGAATTTATCGATTTCCTTAGTCCTGCAAGTAGCAGCTCCTTACCCGCCATTATGCTCCGCCATCCGTAGGAAGGGTTGCTTGCACGTTCCACCTCCATTGGTGAAGAGAATTTGTAGTATCTCGCTTTTAGGACGCGAGCCAGTAAGGACGATGGGTAGTGGATTAATCTCCATAGCTGTTTCGCAAGCAGAGCTATATTGAAACTATGTAGATCTCTAAATCCCAAACCTCCTCTACTTTTGTCACTACATATTTTATCCCAGGCTATCCAGTGTAGGCCTTTGTTTGATTGTTTTGTACTCCACCAGAAGTGGGAAATTGCTCCATTGAGCTTCTTCAGAATAGATTTCGGGAGAAGAAAGCATGACATGACATAAGTAGGTAGCGCCTGTGCTACATACTTAATCAAAACTTCCTTCCCTCCCTTTGAGAGAAGTTTCGAGGACCAGGCGTTAATCCTTTGATTGAGGTGTTCTTGAATGAAAGAAAACACTTGCTTCTTGGATCCTCAAATTTTCTCTGGTAGTCCTAGATATACTCCCATTCCGCCCTCTTGGTGGATTCCCAGAGTGTTTTTGATCTCATTTTTGCATTATGGCCCTATCTTGCTCCCAAATAGAACAGAAGATTTAGAGCAGTTTAGCTTTTGTCCTGAAGCTTTGCCATAATCTTCAATTATCTTAATAAGTTCAGCGCATTCCGATTTATCTGCCTTACAAAAAAACAGACTATCGTCTGCAAATAGGAGATGAGATATACTTGGGCATGTTCTGGCGATTTTCAGGCCTGTAATCCGCCCCTCTTCCTCTGCTCCTCTTATCTTTGCTATAAGAGCTTCTGTGAGTATGATGAACAGGAAAAAGGATAGGGGGTCCCCTTGTCTTAGACCTCTCGTAGGGATAATGTTTCCTTTTGCTTCCCCGTTAAGCAGTACTCTGTATGTTACAGAAGACATGCACCATTTCATCCATTTAACCCATTTTTCTGCAAAGCCCATTTTCAGCATCAAAGCCTCCAGGAAAGACCACTCAACACGATCATAGGCTTTACTCATGTCGGTTTTGATAGCTACAAATTTGCTTTTGCACATCTGGTTCGTTCATAATGCATGGAAGGCTTCTTGCGTCACGAAAATATTATCCGTGATTAGACGTCGAGCCACAAAGGCTGATTGAGTCTCCGAAATTAGTTTCGGGAGGATCTTTTTGAGTCTTGAACTCAAGATCTTTGAGATAATCATGTAACAAACATTACAGAGGCTGATGGGTCTGAACTGGGACATTTCAGTTGGTCGCTTTGTCTTTGGTATCAAACATATATCTGTTTGATTTAAACGTGGATCAAAGCTATCATGCTCAAAAAAGTCATGTACCATCCTGATTATGTCTTTGGAGAGGATCTCCCAAAACCGCATAAAAAAGAGGCTAGTCATACCATCCGGGCTTGGGGCCTTTTCTGGATTTATAGCAAAGGGGGCTTTTTTAATCTCGGCCTCGGATGGTTTACATGTCAGCTTCTCATTTGTAGCTGACGTAACTTGCACGGTAATGTACCGGAGATTTTCCTCAAAATCTTGGGGCTGATCTGTAGTAAAGAGGTCTTTAAAGTAGTCTATAGCAACTTTCTCTATACCTTGTTCGGTTTCAATCCATACTCCAATGCTATTTTTTAGTTTAATGATCCTATTCCTTGCCCTCCTCTGTTTAGTGGTAGCATGGAAGAACTTTGTATTCTTGTCCCCTTTTTTAAGCCAACATGCCCGACTTTTTTGCTTCCAATAGAGTTCTTCCTCTCTAAATGCGCTGCAGAGATTCCATTTTAGAGTCAGAAGCTCTTAATTTGTAACTTCATCATCGTCTTGGGCTAGCTCTAGCTTTGCCTTGATCTCTTCGATCTTCTTGATAGTGTTGGACGGGTTTAGACGTCTCCAGCTGGAGATGGCTTTTCGACAGTTACCTATCCTTGCATATAAATTACTCCCTTCTGTAGGGCTTGAGGGTCCCCATCCTTCTATAATAGCCTCTATCAATCCCTCCTTTTCCAGCCATCTCTTATCAAATTTAAAATTCTTTTTCACCCGTCCCTTCCTTGATTGGATCCGGGCTAAGATGGGCCGATGGTCAGATCCCAATAACTTTGGATACTCCACAGACGTGTGGGAAAAGTCATGATGCCACTCTTCATTGCCAAGGGCTCTGTATAATTTGCAGCGAACCCGACCACTTCTGCGATTGCCCATCCATGAGAATATATTTCTTTTGGCATGAAATTCCATCATCCCACAATCGTCCAGCAACGTATTGAAAGGGATAAAGGATGCGTCTGAGCGTTTTCGCCCCCCTCGCTTTTCGTGGTGGCCTGTGATTTTATTGAAGTCTCCTATCATAAACCAATCCCCTGATCTCGTGGTACTTATATGTGTTAATCTTTCCCACACCAGCACTCGGTACTCCGGGACCGGATCTCCATAGACAAATGTCATAAAGACTTTTTTCCCGTCTACAACTGCCTCGATGTCTATCAGACGATCATTTGAGAACAGG